GTGAATTCTCTCACCCTCCCGCACTTCTGACTGTACCCAGTGTTTGTATAAATAAATAAATAACTAAACAAATCTTTAAATAAATAAATAAATAAATGCCTCTACTCTTTAAAAAAAAAAACAAAAACAAAATGTATCTTAGAGATTTTATTTTCTTGGTACATAGTCGATCTTTTTGCTTCGTTCTTAAGTAGTCTATAGCATGATTTCTACCCTGTTTTATTTACACTTTTGTCTACTAATGCACATTTAAGATGTTTTAAATTTCAAGTTACAAATTGTGTCACAGTGCGTGTCCTTATGCTAGTTATTCTAGGGTATATACTGATAACTGGAATCACTGGGCCCTGAGGTTTCAGCCACGTTGCCTTCCGCGTGACTGTGCCCATTTCTGCTTCCATTAGTGAGTGGAGTACCCAGTTCTCTATGACGCCACACGTTTGATATTTAACGACATAGAGAAAGGTGGTAAGAAATGATTTCTGATTGACTCAATATACATTCCCCTGGTCACTATGACACAGAGCTTCTTTTCATGTTATTAGCCGCTGTATTTCCTCTTCAGTGATTACCTGCTCTATCCTATGGCTGTTTTCTTCTTTTGTCTAATCTTATATATATTGATTTGTGGTAGTTCTTTATGTACACTGGATACTTACCCTTGGCCTGTGATACATGTTGCAAAAATTTCACCTCGAGACTCTTCCACGAAGGGTTCCATTTCCTTTTGTAGTCCTTCTTGCTGCATGAGCAATAGTGCGCACTCTTGTCCTCCCTCCTGGTGCAGAGCAGGACACCTGGAGATCTGAAGGCTCTGTTCCCCACTCTGTCTCTGGTGAATCCTCTCACCGCCACCCTCCCCCTCAACACCTCTGGCCTGCACGCCAGCTCTTGTATGCATAAATAAATAAATCTTTAAAAAAAGGAAAAGGCATAACAATAAAGTTCAGTAGTTCCAATGCACAACACAACATTCTTCATTCAGTGCACAATATGATATTGTTACTGCGGCTGATGGGCATTTCTATTTGCTTATCAAAGTGGTGCAGCTCAGGCAATTGTGTAAACACAATTTATTGTTCACCTAGCTTGGCAGCTTTATAATGATGCAATTTGTGATTAATTTTTCTTTTTATTTCTTTTTTCCTTTGATCTTTGATCTTTTTCTTTCTTGTGAGTACTTTTTTATTTGCAGGGATTTACACTATTTCAGAATCCATACACAAAATGAGATTTGATTGATTTTTTATGTGCCATGATTTCAGAGTCTCCTAATTCAGGGTTACATACAGTATGACCCCTGCAAACATGCTGGAAGTTTCCTGGGCCATTTGCTGTCCTCGAAGCTGTTGATGCCCATTGTCAGTGCAGGACTGCTGGTTTTGTGGGGACTAAAGATAAATTTTTAAAATTTTTTTTTTAAGATTTATTTATTTATTTATACAAGCAGTGGGTACAGTCAGAAGTGCGGGAGGGTGAGAGAATTCACCAGAGCCAGAGCAGGGAGTAGAACAGACAGACTGAAGTACACTGCTAAGGAGAGCAGCAGGCAGCAGGAGAGGTCTGCACGCTATGTGGGACCCTCACCAACAGCTGGGGATTGAACCGGTGCTGCAGAGGCTGCAGGCAGCTTTGCAGCCCAGTGCTCAACCACTCGCCACCGGGGAGGCCCTAAAGATATTTTTTTTTTAATGTGGAGTGAAACAAGACTGAATTCAGAGTTTGCTTTGAGACAAGGGATGCCTACATGATGTGATGTGACTATCTTAAGACTTCTGCGTTGATGATGTCGATGCTGTTCTTGAAGACACACTGCTCCTTGTCTGCTCCCCATGCCCTTGTCATGCTGTTTGTGCTTGTGCGCTACCTCACCCCAAGCTAAATTGATGATGCCCAGCATCCTGGAAGGCCCCTTGGCAGTTCTATAAAATAACAGTATCCCTAGCTTTTAGTTTCTTTGTCACTGAAGAAACAAACAGTTCTCAGTGCTGGGGAGGGGGAGAAGGGGGGTAGGCTGGGACAGGCAGGTCTTTGACAGGAGGTTCTAATGTGGTCATGACAGGGTGTGTGAATCTTTGTGTTGGGGCACTGTCATTTCACACCCACGAGAATGGGTAAAATAGAAAGAATTGACAATAGAAATGCTGGTGAGGATGTGGAACAAGAAAACCCCCCATACATTGCTGGTGGGAGTGTAAAATGGCTCAAATACTTCGGAGAATTATTTCTATTTTGTAAAGTTAAACAAATAAACCTCATGACCAGGAATCAACCCAAGTGAATAAATACATATCCACAGAGACATGTATAAGAATATTCATAGTACTTAATGACAAAAGTCTGATAATGGAATAATCAGTGGAAAAATGGATAAACAAGTATGTGGAATACTCATATCTTGGAATACTACTCAGCAATAGAAGAACACTACAGAATTATAGCATAGATGAATCTCAGGAAACATGCTGTTGAAATAAAGAAGACAGTTATTAAAGTAAATTTGATTCTATTTATCTGAAGTACAAGAGAAGAGGTAAAACTCAGCTGTGGGAATAGCAGTCAGAAGAGTGATTGCCTCTGGAATGGCGGGGGAGGGCTGGGATCCGCCTGGAGAGCTTCTGGGATGAGGGCCACGTTCTAAACGTTTGGTTATTTGGGTAAATGTGTTGTCAAAACTCATCTAAGTGAACATTTATGATCTTTACATTTTCTTGTATATCAATTATTCCTCAACATTTATTGATGGTATTTAAAAAAAAATTTTTTTTTAAAGATTTATTTATTTATACAAGCACTGGGTACAGTCAGAAGCGCAGGAGGGTGAGAGGATTCACCAGAGACAGAGTGGGGAACAGAACAGGCAGACTGACGAAGTACATTGCTGAGGGGAGCAGTGGGCGCATCAGGAGAGGTCTGCGCGCCATGTGGGACCCTTGCTGGTGGCCAGGGATCGAACCGGCACTGCAGAGGCTGCGGGCAGCTTCGCAGCCCAGCGCTCAACCGCTGCGCCACTGGGGAGGCCCTGTTGATGGTATTTTTAAAAGGTTACAATTAGCTTATTTTTTGGCTTGTTTTGCTATTTCTATCCCAACGATTTGTATTCACCAGGGTCATTGTCTTTTAGAATGCTAGATGACATAACACCATCACTGTACACCAGGGGTTCTTAACCTGAGTCCTCAGATAGTTTTCAATGGATTTTTTTTTTTTATAATTTTTTGGGTATTGCAGTTATTTTTATTTTTATTTATTTATTTTATTTATTTATGCATACAAGAATGGGGGTACAGGCCAGAGGTGGAGGGGGGTGAGAGGATTCACCAGAGACAAAGTGGGGAACAGAACAGGCAGACTGACTGAAACACACTGCTGAGGGGAGCAGCGGATGAGTCAGGAGAGGTCTGCTGAGCCATGTGAGTAGCTCCCTGGCCGGAGATAGAACTTGTGCTGCAGAGTGTGCGGTTAGCTTCATAGGTTGCGTCTTAACCCCTTACGCCATCACGGTGGCCCAGTTTTCAATGGATTCTTGGACACCGTGGGGCTGAGTGCATAATTCTGCCTGCCTGTGTGCACAGATTTTTCTCTTCCCTTGAGGCGTGAGTTCATAGTTATGACCATAATATCAAAAGGGTCTGTGACCCAAAACACATTTAAAACGGTATCTTTCTGTTAGATGGTTCATGCAGAATGTGGATGGGAACAGTATCAGTAGTTAAAGGTGAATGAATGCATAGATGACGAACTGTTTCCAGTTGACATTCAAGGAACCAAGCCTCTAATGATTTGAAGATTAAAACTGGCAGATGCCAGTGGCTCCACAAAACTAGCAAAAATTAGAGTAACTTCTGAAAAATAAAGTTCTGATAAGAATAGCAAGCAGAATCAGTGTACCATAAAAGAGGTTTTGCTTATATTTGTAGAAAAAGATACCTGCTATTCAAAAGTATCATATACCATGTCTACTTTTAAGTATTGAAATTGAATACATGGACATAATAGAAGCAACAGTCATGATTGAACTGTACAAATAATTATATAGTGCTTTTCTCTTGACAGGAAGAAACAATTACATGGTGAATGCTAACAGAATTGTAGCAGGTTGATCTTTGCCAGTGTTTTAACAAAGGAAGACAATTTTGATGTGTTTCCTTTACGGCAACTTTTATGCACTAAATTTTTATTTATTTATTTTTTAAATAATAAATTTTATTTTTATATTCCCCATACAATTGCAGCCCCCCCATTCTGACCCCAATCCCTCCCCTCCCGCCCCCGCCCCCCTAAAAGTGTCTCTGGTTCATAGTTTTTTGTTGATTTTGATTTTCACTTTCTTATAGTTATTCATTTTCCTGGTCCCTTATTTAAGTTTTCTAGATTCCTGCTATGAGTGAGACCATCCGGTATTTTTCTTTTTCTTTTTGGCTTATTTCGCTGAGCATGATTCCTTCCAGCGCCATCCATGTTGCTGCAAATTGCATGTGTTTATCTTTTTTGAATGCTGAGTAATATTCCATGGTGTATATGTACCACATCTTCTTGATCCAGTCATCTATTTTTGGGCATTTGGGCTGTTTCCAAAGCTTAGCTATTGTAAACAGTGCTGCTATAAACATAGGGGTGCAGGTGTTCTTTGGAATTGATGTATCTGTGTCCTTTGGGTAAATACGTAGGAGTGGAATTGCTGGATCATATGGAAGCTCTATGTTTAGTAGGTCCAGAAATCTCCACACAGCTCTCCACAGTGATTGGACCAGTTTGCACTCCCACCAACAGTGCAGAAGAGTTCCTTTTTCTCCACACCCTCGCCAACATTTGTTGTTGCTAGTTTTTTTAATATGTATGCACTAAATTTTTAATTGGTTCTTCATTCTCAGTCCGGTATCACAGGGAAACATATGCAGCATTAAATTGATGGCATAGAGTGTAAATGCTCTTTGACATGTGAAGTGACTGTGAGGACACCTGGAAACCTTGGCTTTCTTTTATCTGGTTATTGACAGGTTTCTGTGGTCTGTTTTGTCCAATATGTCTTGAGTGTGACATTGCTAGTCATTATGGAGAGTGTCTCTGTTGGCCATTGTTACCTGGGTCCACCTTTGCACTGAGAATTGGCACCAGAGAGAGACATAAAATACAGGTAAGGATGTTTGAATGTGTGTGTGAAACTGGACTTAAAGGGGAACCTGGATGCTTTCCAAATATGTGATTAAAAATAAATAAAAAGGGCCTCCCCGGTGGCACAGAGGTTGAGCGCTGGGTTGCGAAGCTGCCTGCTGCCTCTGTGGTGCTGGTTCGATCCCCGGCTGCTCCCCGGCCACCGGAGGAGGGTCCCGCATGGCGCGCAGACCTCTCCTGCCGCCCGCTGCTCCCCTCAGCAGTGGACTTCGGTCCCTCTGCCTGCTCTGCTCCCCGCTCTGGCTCTGGTGAATTCTCTCACCCTCCCGTGCTTCTGACTGTACCCAGTGCTTGTATAAATAAATAAATAAATCTAAAAAAAAAAAAAAACCCCTAAAAATAAATAAATAAATAAATAAAAGGCATAGGCAAGAATGCTTAAAAACACCACATTTAGAGGGAGACTTTGGGGAAGGAGAGGAATGAATTCCCAATTTTATTCATTGCTAGGGTGGATATTAACCAAAATGCCACACTGTGAAGGGTATTTCCAAGGGGTCCTACTATACTGCAGGTTACTGGTCAGTGGGCCAAATGTGTTTCTCTCAATTCATCAAGAGAAGATGACAACAGACACCAAATTTGGAGGATGTATTTTGGGATGGTCTGACTTAAAAATATGGCTTCTGTGGCACATGCAGAATTCACTTTGGGGTTCCCCCGACAGCCCTTTAAAGAGTCAGATGATTTCCAGCACAGCAGAGACCAAGCTATAATGAGAGATTGAGAACAGATAGATCATACATAGTAAGACGTGGAAAGTTAAAAAAAAAAAAAAAGCATCTCTTTATATTCACATGGAGTGATCTTCAAGACATATTTTTAAGAGAAAAAAGATCATTGCATAAAAGTATACAACTATTTAAAATAAAGAACTTTATTGTGCATATTTGTGTCAACTTAGAATTTATTTGGAAGTATAAATAAGTAACTGCAACAGTGGTTGTTCCCTGACTGGCAACTGGGTGACAGGAGGCACCTATATAAGGAGGGGTATATTTTTAACTTTCTATCCTTTTTATTTTTTTAAAAGATTTATTTATTTATTTATTTATACAAGCACTGGTTGGGTACAGTCAGAAGCGCGGGAGGGTGAGAGGACTCACCAGAGACAGAGCGGGGAGCAGAACAGCAGATTGACAAAGTACACTGCTGAGGGGAGCAGCGGGCGTGGCAGGGGAGGTCTGCCACACCATGTCGGACCCTTGCTGGTGGCCAGCCTCGCAGCCCAGCACTTAACCACTGCGCCACCAGGGAGGCCCTAACTTTCTATCCTTTATACTGTATTACCTACTCCAAAAAACAAACAAACAAATATATATTTAGTCTAAGAAAATTATTGACAGAAAAATCAGTGGTTTCAAGTGTGAAGCCCATGTCAAAAGCCCTCAAGATGGGTCTCTGAGTTGCCAGAATTGATTAGCAGTCAAGATATGTGGCACTTAGTTAAACCAGTGAAGTTGTGTCCATTGGAAGTGACTTACGGAGTTGATGGGTCTTGGAAGTAATGGATGGGATGCGCCATCAGATATCAACTGTACAGGGCCCTCGTGATGGGAGGGGGTCTGTGTGGTTGCACCAGAACAGAGCCCCGGTCTCCCCTCAGGGCACCCTATGTGAAGACTGGCTGGCTGTGCACTGCTGTTGGCCTCTTTCCATCTGCCAGATGGCCCGGGAACTCAAGATGAGGACCTCCCAACTCTACGAGATATATTCATCCCCTTCGACTAATGATACCTTTATTTAATAGAGCAAGATAATTCTTCCTCAATCCCCAAAACCCTCCTCTTAAACCCATCTTACTAGATTGTTCTTGAGTTTTCACTGAAATATTATAAAAATAAATGATATCACCTTCTACTGCTTTGCTGTTCTTTCCTTACCTATACCCACGATGGAGATGGTTGTTGTCCGGATTTGCTATTCCGGCCCAGCCATATACGGCAGACAGTTTCTAGAGGTGAGTGTTGGGTCCTGCCTTAACTTCCTACTGCCATCCTTTCATGAGGGTGTCTGGGGGGAGGAGGTAGGACAGGTGGTTACTTGTAGTTAGCACCTGAAGTGGGCCCACATGTCAGTGAGGCACAGAAGTACATTCTTTCCCTTGTCTTGACTTCTCCGGTCCTGACAATATAAAGGAGAAAATCTTAGTGGCTGCTGACTTTGCAACCCTCTCTAACATCTGCGTATCTTCATCCCTAGCATCACAGCCTTAGGCAGGCAGCTGTTATGAGTTGAATTATGTCTCTTTTCTACCAAAAGATACCTTGAAGTCCTAACTCCTGGTATCTATGAATATGACCTTATCTGGAAATAGGGTCCTGTGATCATTTGGGTGGGTCCTAATCCAATCTAACCCTTCTCCTTTTAATAAGGGAGCAAAGACAGGGAGATAGAGACATACGGAGGAGGATGGCCAAGTAAAGATGGAAGCAGAGGTTGGAGTGATGCTGCCACAAGCCAAGGGCTGCTGGGACTGCCAGAAGCTGGAGGGGGCCAGGAAGGAGCCTTCTCCAAAGGATGCAGACATCCTGATTTGGACTTCTGGCCTTCAGAACTGTGACAGAATAAGTTTCTTTTGCTAAGCCTATCCATTTGCAGTACTTTGTTATAGCAGCCCTAGGGAGCTAATACATCAACATCTGTCATGTGAATAGGATATTCTTGTATCTGTGAGGGCAACAACACAGGGCAGTCCTAAGATGCGGGGTTCTGAAGCCTGAGCTGCCTCCTGCATTGACTGACTGCAGTACTGTAGGCAACTTGGCTAGTGTCTTTGTGCCTTGGTCTCTTCATCTGTAAAATGATATTACTGACCTCTTGGGGCTATGAAGATGCTACAAGTTGAGACACTCAGAACAGTGCATAGCAGATGGAAAGGTCTCAATAAACAGGATATTATAACAATTGTCCTGTTACCTTGTATTCATAACAAATTATATGACTTTTCATTTATGTTGGGATATAAAGCATTACATTTTAGATTAAAATTGAGTTAATGGAAACAAGAAAATCAGTATAGATAGATGGTTGGTGGATTTGAAGAATTTTTTTTTTTAAGATTTATTTATTTATTTATACAAGCACTGGGTACAGTCAGAAGTGTGGGAGTGTGAGAGAATTCACCAGAGCCAGAGCGGGGAGCAGAACAGGCAGAAGGACCGAGGTACACTGCTGAGGGGAGCAGCAGGTGCAGCAGGAGAGGTCTGTGTGCCATGTGGGGCCCTCGTCGGTGTCCAGGGATCGAACCAGCACTGCAGAGGCAGCTTCGCAACCCAGGGCTCAACCACTGCACCACCGGGGAGGCCCCGGATTTCAAGAATGTTTAATGCACTCTACAGGTTTTAAGACAGTTAGTCCTTAACATCCCGAGGAAAGTGATATTATATGACCATTTTTCCAGAAAAGAAACATGAATCACAGAGAGGTTAAGTAAATTGTCCAAGGCCACACAAATGGCAAATGGTAGATTCTCCAGGCTGTGCTCCTGACCTCCATAGTGAGCTTGCGTAGAAGGCTTCTAACCAGTGCATTTTGGGCCCTTGTGGAGGCACAAGCTCGAGTTCATTCTGTTGAGGTGAACTCTGGTATTTGTGGACAGGAAGTGCACCCCTGCCTTCACCCATGCACACAGACACTGAGCAGTTCCCATGTGGCAAGTGTCATACTCTCTTCCCTGCCTCCCTCTTGAGTGTCCAGAGTTGCTGCCAGAAACCAAATCCCTTTGTGAAAAAGTAAGTGCTCAGTGTTGATGTTTAATCTATGATAAAGTACTCTCCTCTGCAAGTCAGCTACTGGGGAAAAAAAAAAAAAGCAATCAGGCCCGAGGGACAAGTGTATTAACTGAAAATAAATCTGTTTTATTGTTTCATGCTAAAACACCTACGGTCTTCACAAGCTTCCAGCTGGGAACAATATGAGTTTTTGGCAAAGGAGACGTGGGTAATCTCGCCACATGGTTGGCCCCCTCCTCCTACGTGAACATCAGATGGTTTCATGCCAGTTTCTGGCACAGTTCTCCTCTCACCAATGTAAAAGGTGGGAGTGGACCTCTCCAACAAGGGGGTCCCTCTTTCCTTTTGCTGCTTCTGCTCAGTCTGGGCTGTAAAGCACAAACTTAACACTTCATTAGAGCCACAAGCCCATACAAGCAAAACTCCGGGCTTTCAAATCAACTAATCTACCAGCAAATCACAGAACATAAAATGAAGAATTTGTATGTGGATAGTTCTTTGAAAAGTGATGGCAGCATAAAGTCCTGAAGCAAGGTGACTGGCTTCCTCCAGAACAGATCAACTCCAAGAAAAAGGACTTCACAAAAATATGCTTTCTTCCCAGCAGAAGAGCTATCCAACACCAGTCAAGGGAGAGGCAACAACTCTGATATGAAGCTCCCCATTTTCTCAGACTTACCAATAGCTGGCAGTGGTACAGATCTGAGAGGTACCCAATAGTGAAGGCATGTTCCATGTGTTTTTCTTCTCAATAGAAAATTCCTCTTGGTTTTCCAAGATGCAAAGTGTGGAACAGATCACTAATGGCTCCATGTGGGTAAATAACACCAACACATATGCAACAGACATTTCAGAGTACTCCATACAGATTCTTATAAATTACAAACCAAAATACAAACAATCCCCCCGACCCTGTCCCCAGCCCTGTGGCTTAGTGGAATACACTAAGCAAATAAGCTGCCACCCCTGGAACTCCATATTTTTTGGAACAAAGATATAAAAAAAATTGGAAGTCCTTAAGTGTTCATTGCCCTATAAAATAATTTTAATGTTTATATATTTTATGTATCTAAGGTTTATACAATAGTCTATAATGACAAACATATACCCTTTTCATAGACATTATTCATATACATATTATCCCATAAAGATTCTTTTTTGGTCTATTAAAAAACTGTACTTAAAAAAACAAGCACACACACAAGAGCTATAGCTTTTCTGTTTGTTATTTTTTTTAAATAGCTTCTCTACTTACATTTCCATGGAGGAGTGAATTTTCCTCCCCTTTCATTTTCTTGTCTTTATTCCCCTAAACAACAGCGCTTCCCCTAACCAAACATGTAACAATAAAAAGCAATTCTAGGAGCTGAGACTCAGATTTCAGGGTTAGCAAACTATTCTAGGTTATGTGTCTTGTTCAACTTCACTTTTGTAATTCTAAATCCTCACCTCCTCTATCCCTCCACCACGTTTGGACCTTTGACTTCTTGAGATCTATATCAGCTGGAACTGACAGCCAAGACACAGAAACTTTAGGAAATAGGGAATCTTTCCTAAGTTTCTTGTCTTGGCTGGGAACAATCAGATTCTACACTTCATGTTTTGGAAAAGACTTGATTTATTGGCTAAGCAGGTTTAAAACAGAAGCCAAATCTCCATGAAACCCTACCCTATAAGCCACGGGAAGTTCCCAGAGATTTGAAAAACAACAAGTATAAAAATAACAAGTGGCAGTTTCTTGTTGCTCTAAGTGTGAGAAGGGGAAGCCAAGGTAAGAAGAAAAAAAATGAGTGAAGAGGCCTTGAAGTCAAGGCTGTAATTAGCTAGTGTGGTCTAATGGTTTCCGGGGATTAAAAATCATTTGTCTCCCCCACTTTATACAACTTGCTTTTGTGTGGGAGCTTGCTTATAAGTAATCTTTCCACACATCATGTATAAAAGTAAATTGCTTCCAACTCTGACAAATCCATGACTATACCTTGGAAAGTGAAGTCATTTTAACCTATTTATAGGGGGCTATAAGGCCTCATGGTGGTAATGAGTAGATTCTAGAATGTGAAGGCAGCATCTCTATCTTCATAGATTCTGAAGCTAAAGAGGAGCCAACCAAACCTGAGTTCTTTCAGAGAAAGTGGAGCCAAGGTTTAGTCACAGCAGGTCAGAGAGAAGGGGTGATTGCCACTTGGCGGCGCCGCCTCTGACCATGTATGAGACGGCCATGTCATCACTGAATCATCCCCTCTGTGGTTGCATCGCACCTCTTGCCTTCCCACTCACCACTTGGCAAATAAAACCAGTACTTTGGGACTTCTGGTTGCTTATTATCACCTTCCCCTGTGGTTAACCAAGAGAAAGGTGTGGTTAAGGAGGACAAGTTATTCATTAAGACATGGGCGCCAGTTTGAGTCCTGCAAGTCATGGATTCACAGAGAAGTTAACGTTTCTGTAACCACAAAGTACAATCCTTACCCACTCTGGTTCGCTGATTCTCCTTCTCACAAGCACGACGGGATGAAAGACTGAAGAGGCTTCAGTGCAAAATTATGATCCTGAACTTTAAAACATCCAATACATCCAAATAATGCTGCATTTGTATTTTATTATCTTGCTAATCAGGGCAGCAGGTGCTCATAAAAATAAAATTCTTACTGATGTCTTGAGATGGGGAGAAGATAAAAATGCCTCTCAGGGTATTTGTGAATTTCATGTCTATGTGGGGTTCCTCTCAGGTCATCACAGATCATTTCAAATTTGTGTGTTAAGTTACAGGTTTTTTTTTTTTTAAAACCAGGGGTAGAATATCTTCTAATGACTTGTCCTGGAAGATGGGCTATTTATTAATAAAAAGAATGCAGAGTTACAATTGACTTTTATAACTGTAGATAGGTAGCAGCCCCTCCATAAGCATGGCAGTCTGTGGCATCTTGTTTTCTTATTTGATATTTTTTTCTTTACTTCCTTTATCAGTCTGTTCTGGATCAGAAGGTATCAGTGGGGAAAGAGAATGGAATTGGAATGGAAGAGCATGAGGAGAGGTGGGGGACAGAGGATGCGGTGGGGAGGAGATGGGGGTGAGAGAAGTTGTGAAGAATGCTCGCCTTTCTGGCTTGAACACCTGAGAGAAGAATATGATGCCGTCCCCTAAGCTAAAGTCTCTAAATACAAGTTGGAGACACAGGTCAGCCTCAGAGCTGGAAGACACAGGACGTTCAGTCATTTCTCGTGTCAGGTAGGTGGCCAGGTGTGAGAAATCGCTAGATGAAGTGTAGTGTTGACCATAGAAAGGAAGAAGAGGAATGACAGTGTGGTGTGACCTGTAACTGCAGGGGACCCACTGGACTTTCTCCATCTGCCCCAGCACCCATTGATACTGTGGGTGAAGACAGAGTGCTCTTTCTCCTGTCAGCCTTCTGTCTTGGAGGCCGGCCTCTATAGCATCTTGGCGTCCAAGGAATACCACATGGTCCACAAACTCTCCACCGAGCAGTTTCCATTCACACAGTTCATTTTCTCTGTCGTCTTCTCATAGTCGCCAGCTCATCATCTTGGAAAGATTATCAAGGCAGGGTCTGTGAGGTGGAAAAAAAATTCAGAATTTATTATATGTGAATGTAGCCTAAGAAGAACTATAGTTCCTTAAAATTCTTCAGCTTTGTGGGCAGGGATAGGACCTTTCATTTTACAGAAGGCATGTTGTCTTCTCAGTTCACTTTATCAGGAGGCACATGGATCTCTATCCCCATTACAAATGATGCTGACTTTGGTCTATTGGCTGATGTGGTTGTCTTTAAGCTTCCTCCACTCTCCATTGCTATTTTTCCCTTTGTGATTAATGAGCATCTTGCGAGGAGTTATTCTGGACTCTTCACTTCACTCACGGGTTTTAATATTCATTGATTCTTCTCGCCTGAACTGATTATTACTGTAGTGGTTGCTGAATGGTGATTTCAAAAAATTCTATCACGGGGCCTCCCTGGTGGCGCAAGAGGTTAAGACACAACCTATGAAGCTAACCGCAGCCACTGCAGCACAAGTTCGATTCCCAGCCAGGGAGCAACACACATGGCACCGCAGACCTCTCCTGACTCACCCGCTGCTCCCCTCAGCATTGTATTTTGGTACATCTGCCTGTTCTGTTCCCGATTCTGTCTCTGGTGAATCCTCTCACACACCTCTGGCCTGTACCCCACCTCTTGTATGCATAAAAATAAATCTTAAAAAAAAATTCTATCATGCCTTCCACACTTAGAAGTTGGTGTTCTACTATAAGGAAGAACTTTTCCTTTTTCCACAGTTATTTATTCATACAGTATGGACTCAGGAATTCCTATTTGATGTGAAAGGTTATCATCTGTTATTGCCAAACACAAATAATCTGAATCAAATGATGAAGGCATATCAGACAAATCCCACTGAGTGACATTTTCTAACATAAATGACCTATAATCTTCAAAATGGCAAGGTGAAGGAAGACAATGCATCTTGTGGAAGAAACCAGAGACATAACAATCAAATGCAATATATGGTTCTTCAGTAAGTTCTAGATAAGACATTAAATTTTTTTCTCTAAAAAGGAAAAGAATACAACAGTTGAAAAACTGTAGACTAGTTAAAAGTGCAATATCAGTGTTAATTTCCTGACTTGGTGATTTCATTGTAGTTGTGTTAGAGTATACATTTGGTTTTAGAAAATACACACAGAAATGTTTGGAGATAGATGGGCATTTGCTCTTCAACTACTCTAAATGGTTCACAAAAATTGCATGTATAACTTATGTTAAATTTTTACTTAATATTTAATATTATAGGGCCTCCCTGGTGGCGCCCTGGGGTTAAGACACAACCCATGAAGCTAACCACAGTCACTGCAGCATGAGTTCGATCCCCAGCCAGAGAACAACCCATATGGTGTAGCAGACCCCTCCTGACTCGCCCGCTGCTCCTCTCAGCAGTGTATTCCAGTCAATCTGCCTGTTCTGTTCCCCACTCTGTCTCTGGTGAATCCTCTCACCACCCCCCACCCCGCACCTCTAGTCTGTACCCCAGCTCTTGTACGCATACAAATAAAATAAATTAAAAAAATATATAATATTATAACATGTCTGAAAGAGAATCAAAACTACATAGTAAAATGTTAAAATTTAGAGAAACTACCTTTGAAGGGGATATAGGAATTCTTTGTACTAATTTTAGCAACATTTCTGTAAGTCTGAAATTATTTCAAAAATAAAAAAATCAATGAGTCCCCAGAATTTCTCTAGTTACTGAACTCTACCTGCATTGCTGTCAGCCCCTCATGGGTCACCAGTGTCCTCCCCTCCCTGCCCAGACCTTTGCTCCCTTTCTTTTCTTGAGGCTGAGAGCTCAGAAGGAAGTGTGTGGCCCACGCACCCTGTCTGGGAGAGGCAGGTGATCACAATGGTCATCGCAGGAGTCAGGCTGCCCTCTGTGACTTTGCTGCCAGAGTTTGGCTCCTGGCCTTTAACTACAAATCAAGTTCCGGCTGACCATGTGGACAGGGGAAGGCAAGAAGGATAATGGGAAGTTGGTCCATTAACGTTTGGGAAGACTTTTCTCCTAGCCTCAGAGTTCGTCCATAAGTGAGTTCCAATATATTTCCAGTAAAAGAGGAAATAATTGTAGACAGTTTTCCATCACTTGCCTGATTTCTTTCATCAGGAGTTTGATTTCTTTTCCTTTTTCCACATTGATTTATTCATACAATATGGCCTTAGGGATTCCTATTTGATGTGAAAGGTTATCATCTGTTATTGCTAAACTCAAACAATCTGAATCTAATGATGAAGGTGTATCAATGGTTGGCTTGCTTGTTGCTACCTTTACTGACCTGTAGCATTTCTGAGGGCAGGTTACAAGTACCTCTGCTGACTTAACAGCCCAGTTTTCTCCTTGGTGAAACTTTAATGACCATCACAGGCTCAATCTTTGCAGGATGCCATGAGTGGATCTTGAGGCAAAATTTATGCGAAACACCAACTTGGGAGTCTTATCCAAGGCCCCACTCTGCAAGGCAGAAATTGACCTATGGCTCTAGAGAGTGTACCAAAACAGCCTGAGCTTTCAAACAGACAACCACACTAGGGACCTGGGGGGCTGCAAAGGCAGCATGGCTCTCACTCATCTGCTGGCCTGTCGCTTAGCACCAGTGCAAGCGAGTGCTCAGAGGCTCCTGGTGCCTGCTTAACATTTAGCAGAGGAAGCAGGATGAGTACAAAATCTTTGGTTACTCCACAGAAAAACTAATTAAATTAATCAATCAGTTTAGTAAAGTGGCAGGATACAAAATCAACGCACAAAAATCAGTAGCCTTCCTATACACAAATAATAAATCTGAAGAAGAAGAAATCAAGAAAACCATTCCTTTTATTATTGAAACAAACAAAAAAATCAAATACTTGGGAATAAACCTAGCAAAAGAAGTAAAGGACCCATACAAAGAAAACACTGTTAAAAGAAATAGAAGACGACACAAAGAAATGGAAAGACATCCCCTGCTCATGGATCGGAAGAATTAACATTATCAAAATGGCCATCCTACCAAAAGCAATCTACAGATTCAATGCTATTCCAATTAAAATTTCAATGTCATTCTTCAAAGAAATGGAAAAAATATTGATGAAATTAATATGGAGCCACCAAAAACCCTGAATAGCCAAAACCCTCCTGAAAAAAAAAAAAAAAGAAGGGAATGGAGGCATCACTCTCCCAGATTTCAAACTACACTACAAAGCCATAAAAATAAAAACTACTTGGTATTGCAACCAGAACAGACACATGGACCAATGGAACCAAATAGAAAACCCAGAAATAAACCCACAGATCTAAGGTCAACTAATCTTTGACAAAGGAGCAAAGACTATGCACTGGAGCAAAGAAAATTTGTTCAATAAATGGTGCTGGGAAAACTGGGTCGCTACATGCAAAAGAATGAAGCTTGACTACTACCTCACACCATGCACAAAAACCAACTCAAAATGGATTAAAGAACTAGACATAAGACCTGAAACCATAAAATACATAGAAGGAAATACAGGTGAAACTCTACATGACCTGCACCTCAAAGACATCTTTACAGACGCATCACCCAAAGCAGTGATAGTGAAGGCAAAGATAAACATCTGGGACTACATCAAATTAAAGAGCTTCTGCACAGCAAAAGAGACAGTAACCAAAACAAAGAGAAACCCCACTGACTGTGAGAAAATTTTTGCACCCAACACTAATGATAAAGGACTGATCACAAAAATCTACAAAGAGCTGAAGAGACTCAGGCATATGAAAAAATGTTCCATGTCACTTGCAATCAGGGAAATGCAAATCAAAACTACAATAAGATGCCATCAAACACCAGTGAGAATGGCACATATTAAAAAAACTAGCAACAACAAATGCTGGCGAGGATGTGGAGAGAAAGGAACTCTCCTGCACTGTTGGTGGGAGTGCAAACTGGTCCAACCACTATGGAGAGATGTGTGGAGATTCCTCAACCTACCAAAGATAGAGCTTCCATATGATCCAGCAATTCCACTCCTAGGTATTTACCCAAAGGACACAGAAACATCAATTCCAAAGAGCACCTGCACCCCTATGGTTATAGCAGCACAATTTACAATGGCTAAGCTTTGGAAACAACCCAAATGCCCAAAAACAGATAATTGGATCAAGAAGATGTGGTCCATATACACCATGGAATATTACTCAGCATTCAAAAAAGATGAACACAGGCAATTTGCAGCAACATGGATGGAGCTGGAAGGGATCATGTTCAGTGAAATAAGCCAGAAGTAAAAAGAAAAATACCGGATGGTCTCTCTCATAACAGGAATCTAGAAAACCTAAATAAGGGACCAGGAAAAAGAATAACTATAAGAAAGAAAAAAATCAAAATCAACAAACAACTATGAACCAGAGACACACTTTGGGGGGGGGTAAAGGAGGGATTGGGGTCAAAATCAGGGGGTTGCAATCGTATGAGGAATATAAAAATAAAAAATAAATTAAAAAAATATTCATTAAAAAAAATCTTTAGTTGCTAGGATGCATTCCATGTCCCACCATGTCAATGAGTTACACAGGATCTGGAGTTATGCTGTCTCCACCACTCCTCATTGATTGTGGGCAGGAGTTTCATCCTGCTGTGCATGACTATTTAACTCTTCAAAGAGGCCCCCTTCAAAGGGGCCTTCCCTGTGTGGAAGTTGCTGCAGTGCTGATGCTGGGCTCCCGCCTTTGGAAATGGGTCAACCTCTTCATATCACCAGTGGACCCAGAAAATACTGCTTTGATCTGCAGATCAGGCCTGGGGTCCACAGCCAGTAGCCTGTGGCTCCCCGAACGAAGGCAAGGTCATTTGGGAAAGTGCACCCGGGCTCCCAAGGGGGCAGCGGTGGTTGGTTTGCTTTTGTTGCTACCCACTGTCCTGTAGCATTTCTGAGGGCTCAATCAGGTCGCAACAAGGAGTAACTGCCAATGGCAGGAAGTCTGCCACATTAACCTGACCTTCCAGGTTGTGCTAAATGGCATAGAAAGAACTTCAACTCTAAAGAAT